ATTTTTGTCAAATCTTTGTCTTCCCTTAACACAACTCTGCAGACAGCTCACATATGTGTCACACATGCATCACAGATGTCAGTGTGGAAGCTTCAATTATTTAATATGTGCACTCGCAGAAGCAGAGGATCCTGCCAAAGCTATTTTAGTGTTTTCATTTGGTGAACACATCTGTCTGCAAGGTCCCTGTGAAAGTGTGATGGCTAATGCATGGAGACCTTGGGCCAGGGCTTAGGGCATGTACGCAGCTCTACCCCATTCCCAAATGACAGCCTCATTGTTCTCACGGCCATGCCTGACAGTTGCTCCAGTGACACTTTGGGAAACATGTCTACATCTTTCTGAGACAATGACACACCATTACTGAAGCAGTACTGTTGAGATATCAAACCACACAATCCACTGACACTGACATTGCCTAGAACTACTGATTCCATCTACCGCCCCATTTTGTTCCCACATAGATGTGCCAACACTGATCTCGGTCACAGTTACATCTATTCACTAAAAATGTAAATATGTTTGGTTTCAGCTTTTAAGCTCACTGACTTTAAGTATCCTAATGGCATTCTAACAGTCTAACTATATTTATTCAAGATTCAAGATTATTTATTGTCACTATAGAAAGTACAGCAAAATTAGGGTATTGTTAATGAAGAGCAAAGCTGCATTTATGCACTTAGCAAATGCCTTTTAAAAAATCCAAAGCATGTGTTTCATCAGTAAATGTGTTTCCTAGAAATCAAACCATGACCTTGGCATTGCTAGGACACGCTGTACCAGTTAAGTGTCATGAACACTACACTGGTATCAAAGTTACATTCCAGAGAGGGCAAAACAAGCTAGCAAAATTTTCAATGACAAGCTAGAGGAAAGCTCACAATTCCCTTGAGTAAAATGACATACATATGATGCTACTTTAGAATTTGTTTTAAAAAAAAGTATCTTAATCATTCTGCCTACTTTTTAGTAGAGTCTGTCTTTTAATATGCTGCCTAAGTACGTAGGCAGCTCACTGGGTTTCATAGAGGAAGAAATCCAAAGCTTGTTGCTGTAAAAATGGAATCCCGTGAAAGTTGTACTGAAGGTCAAAATGCAAGTATGAAGTATGGCATTTTTCACAATGGAGATATGCCTAATGAAAGGTGTTGGAATTGCACCATAATACCCTCCACCTTAAACAGTCAAAATTACAAATGAATCTATTCAACTTCAAATATATTACTCTGATTTAAACCTTGTAACAAGCTGCATACTGCAAAAATATAAAAAGAACCCCTGAGAGAAAATTATTCAAATGTCTCTCAGACTGACTGAAAGATATAATTTCTACAAAAACACAAAACAATCACACAATTACATATGAAATGTATGACCAGGACACCAGCAGTTTAAAAGTGACCAATATGGCAGATCTTGCCTTCCAAATAAAAGAGCAAATCTGCAAAGTCACTGCCTGGTCTTTATGTGAAATGTGGGCTCATCTGTTCATTAACACTGCACATGCACATTGGGCTGGACCGAAAATATACAATATATGGTATTGAAATCTGAGTTTGTCAAATACTTTTTTGGCATTTGGTATTTCCCCATTCAATTAGAAACAAGCTATACTTGCATGACTGAAAAAAGCTGCCCAAGATGGCTGCCGAGTGAACTGACTTGCCTTGTAAGGGACTTTGTAATATCCCAGTTTAATATGCAGATATATTGCCTTATAAACAATTTGTAGGAATATTTCCCTGAAAAGTTCAAACAAAGTGGCTCTGGCATTATCAAACCATACTCTACTTGAGTATGCCAACCAGCCCAACACAGCTACATTATTTGTACTCCTAGTGGTGCAGAAATTGCACACTTCACCCTTACAAAATAATAAACAACATAATATTGATATTGCATTTACTTGTGTAGGTGATATTAAACCCCTTTCCCGTGTTTGAGTGGTCCGACTGGAACTCCAAGCGCATTATATGCCCATTGCTAGCGATCTGCGAGGGTACGTCCTTCCCAGAGAACGTTCCAAACGTGGTGGGTTCCGGCATCCCATCGTCTTTCACAATGAGATAGTCAAACTGGGGCTCCATCTCAAAATCGCTGAAAATGAGATGGATCCGATTGCCTGGCTCAGCTATAATGAGCCACACACAGTTCATGTTGTTCCCGTATTCCTCTGGGTAGCTTGGCGAGAGGATGATGCCTGACGGAGTGGTGAAATTGAAGAAGCAGGAGACTGTGGAGATGAAGACA